AAAAAAAAAAGTCCACAAAAAAAATCCAGTTCTTTCTCTTCTCAGGTAACTAATACTCATACATTATTTCTTAAATACTTTCTGAACTTAAAATGATTTTTTCTTTAACATTTATAAATTAGCTAATTGTGTGTATTAGTAGTTAGCATTTAGATTACACTGGCACTCTTTCCCACATGTGTATGGGAAAATGTTACTATTACATTAATATACTATTAGTATCTTTGGAGTAAAAGAAAAATTCAACAAGAACATAGTTACATATGCAATTAAAAATGGTGAAAGAACTCTATGGAAAAATAAAATCAAGTATAAAAATTCTTAAAATTGAGTGAACTTAAAACATACAATACAGTTTAAAAGTTAGGTATAGGACTAGAGACTCAGAAGAAAACACTGAAGTAAACCTTCATGTCCTTAGGTTAGGCAATGGTTTCTATTCATACACCAAAAGCACAAATGACAAAAGAAAAAAATAAATCTGACTACATCAAGACTGCAATTTTTTCTGCAAATGACTTCATCAAGAAAGTAAAAAGACAATACATAAGGGGAAAATGTTTGCAAATCATGTGTCTATATTTATAATAAGCAATAATTATAACTTACTTAACAAATACACAGCCAATTAAGAAATGGGCAAAGGGACTGAATAGACATTCCCAAAGATATACAAATGGCCAATAAGCACATGAAAATGATAATAACATCGTTAACTATCAGGAAAGTATAAACAGAAACCACCATAACAGGACACTTCATACTGACTAGGAGGGCTACAATCAAAAAGCCAAGTTTTGGCAAGGATGTAGAATAATTGCAACCCTCACATACTGCTGGAGGAACTGTAATGTAGTGCAGTCACTCTGGGAAACAGTCTAGCAGTTCTTCAAAATGACCTGAGTTATTCCCCCAGCCCTGGTATAGGGTTTAAGAAGCACCGAAAATGTTCTAAAATTAGACTGTAGTAATTGTTGCATAATCCTGTTAACAATCTAAAAACATTACATATTAAAAGCATTAATTGAATGGTATATGAATTCTACGTCTACATTACTATAAAATGCTAAAAAAAAAAAGGGTAGGTACAGAACTGTAATTCCTTACCACTTTATTCTGTGTGAAAACTCTTTAATCTAAAGTAGAAATAATACTTAAAATGTTAACTTTACAGCTGTACTGGGCTTACAGGAACATTAGGTTGTTTTAGTTTTATTGTGGAATGAATTACTTACAGACACTGTTAGGGAATCTTGTATATCTTTATGACTCACTAGCTGAACATTACCATCTTCATAATAATGAACCTATTAGAAAAAGAAATTACCAAGAGTACGTTGTAAGAATCAAGATCCTTACATTAAACATACAGTGGATACATGACCAACATTCTACTCCTATGTATAAGCCAAAGAAAAAACTTTCAACATAAAAAAATGGTACAAGAATGTCTGTAGGGCAAAAAAAGTAGAGAACAGAAATGTCCATCAACTGATAACTAGATAAATAAAAAGTGTATGCCACACAATGGAATATTACTTATGTAAGCAATCACACTGACTGGTGATGACTGACCACCAATTTCAGGTCGAGCACAGACTTTTTTTTTTTTTAAATTCTTGTTCTGGGAGGGGGATACACTGTGGCATTTACAAAAGTTCTTACAATATATCAAAAATATATCATACTTGAATTCACCCTCCCCCCACCATTCCTGGAATAGTTTTAAAAAGGTCTCATTTTTCCATTTACACACACGTGTACACAGCATTTGCACTATATTCACCCTCCCATGCCCTTTCCCCACTGGTACCAACTTCCCCAAGCAGGACCTGTTCTGCCCCCTATTCTCTGATTTTGTAAAAAGAAAAGAAAAAAAACCAGATTTTTGTTTTTTAAAGATAGCTACACAGAGTTTCCTTGTGACATTTCCATGTATATATGTATTATAACCCAAACTGGTTCATCTCCTTTATTTTTCTTCTATCTTAATACTCTTCTTATGGTGGTTTCAACAGGTTTAAAGATTCTATATTCATTCTCGTATAGAGAATACATCAACCACATTCACCTTTTTAACTTTATCTTCCCCCTCTCATATGTGACCTCCCTTTAGCATAGCACAGACTTTTGAACTCCAGCAAAACTCTTCCTTCCCTCAGTTTGGGGAAGAGTCTAGTAAGATGTTCTGCAAATTATTTCAGCAAGCAGATAATTTTCACTGACCTGACTGCTAGATATTTTTCTTCATAAACATTCTATGGGTACCCAAACCCAGGATGTCCCACTGAGCTCATGATTTTCCAAACAGTTTCTCTTTTGTGCATTTCCATCAACCATTTAATTCCCCAAATTAACAGACATTAGTTTATTCAACAAATATTAATTGTTTACTATAAATATTGCTACTAAATAAGTTATAGATACACAGCTTTTAAAAAGACATATGTCTCTGACCCTCATATTTCAAACAAAGAGGTATGTACAAAACACATTAGCAATACTCTAGAGTCTTTCAGAAGGTTAAAAATGGATTCTGGCAAGTACCAGAAAAGGCTGGAGGTATTTATCGTTGGACTGCATGTATGGCAGGGAAGAGGGAGTAGTAGCTGGAGAAATATACAGGCATTAAAAAAATCAACCTTAGGCCTTGTATGCCATGCAAATGTGTCAGCAGGTGAGAATCAACCTCTAAATGGTTTTAAGTAGGCAAGAAACATCCAGATTTAAATTTTAAAAAATTATCTTTCTGATGGCAATGTGAAAATGGATTAGGGGTGCCAAAGGATCCAACAATTCAATGAAATAAAGCAATGAATTACAAGCTAAGCACAATGCTAGTGCTGATGACAGAACTGTAAATCCCACAGTCTTTATTCTCAACAAGCTTTGGTCCAGTTTGGGACATAATTTTAGAAAGTGATGTAATTATGCAGGTAAGAATTACTGAATCCTAGAAGCTACTGAAGGGAGTAATGTTAAAAATAATAGCTTCAATTCACTGAGTACTTTGTGTCTGATTATGTTCTAACCATTTTACCATATTAACTACTCCTCAAACAATTCTACAAGCTTTTAAAATGATTTTCAACAAATAAAGCAAGCAGAAAGAGTTTAATTGACTTCCTTATGTCACATAAATAGCAACTGACAGTGCCAGGATTCAAACTCAAGCAGTCTGATTTTAAACTTCACGCTCGTCCTTTCTATTCTCTGGTCCCTAAAGGACAAGCACTAAGACATAAAGGCAATGAGAGATGACTAGAAATGTATACCAAAGCCAGATGATAAGACTGTAGTGTATCTTTATTCCTTTATGACTCTCAGAACAGTATCTTCCAATGATAGATGATAACAAATGTACTGATCAAAATAAGTGAACAAAAATATAAAAAGATTAGTCACTATTTTCCTTTAGTTTATGTAGTAACATAGAGTGGTTCATTATCAAATAGTTTTTTCTATATGAACACTGGAGTTCACATTAAGAGTCTAAGAATCCAATTCTTGTAGATTTGGCATAAGAAGTCAAATATGAATACAGGAGATATGTAAAAGATACTTGTAATGTATAACAAAATATATGTATACTAACATACAATGCAATATATATTTATGCATTCACATATGAATATTAATATTATACTTCAACCAATTCCACTTAATTTAGATCACAGAAGAGCACAACTCAAAACTTAAGATGCTTAAATGAACAACTTGTATGAAGAGGAGACCAAATGGTAGAATCTAATTTTAGTTGTGTTTTAGAATCTGTCAGCTATCCTTGGAGATTTCTGATGACAAGGGAATGAACTGGAATGTTATTTAAGACATGAAACAGCACTATTTATTTTTCCCTTTGCTCTAAAATAAAAATCTGGAAAGGAAAGGATATGAAAATATACAAATTAGTTGTTTCTCTGTCCAGAGCTATCTAGAAATCAGCAAACCTTTTATTTCATACCTGAATTTTCAAGATGCCCACCACTTGAGTGGTTGAAGGAGTGACTGTAAACTTCCACTCTGACCTCCAACGACCATTCCTTAAAAACAAAAACAGCAGCTGTAAGTAACGTGGGAAAAATAATTTGAATCAATATTAAGCTTTAGATTTAAAATTAATGTTGCAGTATGAAAGAATGTGAGAGACAGATGCTGGATATTCATGTTTTAATCACTGAAATATTCAAAAAAACACAAAAGGTTAAATTCAGTTATGAGACATATTTAATCTTCACCCTACTGATAAGAAAAGAGCTACATAATGGATGTGACATTAACTAAAGCTTAAGATACAATTCAAAATTAAATCATGTAAGACACTTCTTGAAGAAAAAGTTTAAGCTACTTTTGAGTTAAAAATTGACTGGAATATTGTCAGAAGTAGCTTAAAATTCAGAAATAAGCTGAATAATGGTTAATTAACCTGGCCTTTCCTCAATGCAATCTGAGCGTTTTAACATCCACTGAACCATATGAAGTACCAAATAATTTTTTAAACAGCTAACAAATGTTATGTAATACTCTTCAGGTGGTTAAAAAGGACTATAGTTATAATACCCCCACTTCCAACTTTAGGTGTAAGTTTCCACAAAAACGTACACATTCCCAAAATGGTTGTGGTATACAAATTAACACACACGTTCATGGTAGGAACTGAGAAATTACAAACAATAGATATATTATTAATTTTTGTCTACAGATGAATTTTATGCTGTATTCCTGACAGTTTTCATAGCAACTCCTTTTTTGTCTCTATTTGCTTTTTGCATACTGAAGTCATTCTGATAATGCAAATTAATTCATTAGATTTGTTTGTACATTATATATTTTTTAAAGTGTCACAAAGTCAATGAATCATTAGACTAGCAAAATCACCATTAACTGTGAAAGGAAGAAAAAAAGAAACAATTTCCAATTCATGCAATGGTACCAATTTGAGAACTCTCTCAAAAAGATTCTTCCAAAGGGTTTACTATATTAACTCAAAGACATTTTCTTTATTTTATATATGCTGAAGCTCAAAGGAATTATATTTTTTTAAAACTAACTAGTATATTTATTGTACCATCTCCAGAAATCTTAAAATTTGGTTATAAGAATTTTCCTTTAATAGTAGTTCAATCTCAACAAGACTGATTTTATTATATAGTTCCTGGTAGAAATACATAAATTAATAATAATTTTTGCAAAGATTAACTGCTTTAGGATTCTGGAAGATTAATGGTGCCAAGTTTTTAGAGATAAAACAGAGGAACAATGCTATTTCAATGAATGACACTCACATGCCAGAATCTTTAGGAAACTGCAGCTTGTCATTAAGGAGCATGTTTACATATGGAAATGATTTTCCTTCAGTGACTGAACTGGTACCTCTCCAAATATTCTTGACTTACCTTGTGACCCTGCATTTACTTCTGAGATAGTTAAACTACTGGTGCAACCTTGGGCCATGGTCCAAACTGGTTTGCTGAGATAACTCATACCAGTTACTTTACCCTCAACAGCACCACTAGCTAACTTGGCTTATGAATCAAATACTACTACATGTAAAAAAGGTAAATATCATGCCTATACTTATTCTGATGATCTCAGCATGTATTAACAAAAGAGGGGATAAAAGTAACGATTTCATTCAATTCTAAACTTGTAAAGTCTTGGAGAACCTTGGAATTTTTAAAAGGCAATATCTCAGAAATAATCTGTTTAAGAATAAACAGGACCAACAATTTGCCAAATATCCAAGATTAACAGGGCAAGTCAGTTTTTGGGAAGGTGTTGAAACTTCTGTAAGGAATAACTGACGTGTATGCCAAGTTGGAAGGCATGATTATAATTTTACTTTCTCACGTTGACCAACCAAACACAAAGCAGTCCTTACAAAAACATCTACTTCAGAGCCCCCACCTTCACAAAACAAGCATTGTTCTTTGCTTAAAAATTGCCTCTGTCCTCTTTCCTCAAGTAAGTTTCATTCAGGAACACCCCTCCTCAGAATGAGCATACGGGCCTGCCAACTGGTGCTTGCATACACACATGTTCCCTAGTCTCCAAAAACAAGAAGCTCTCCTACACTTTGTTCACTGAATTTCAGCAGATTCACTGCTACTTTAATGATCAGACTGATTATGGAGCAAATACCCTTCTTATATTGTTCTTAGTTAATTACACCCAAAATACAGTCCCAATCACTAAAGCAAGAGTTACAAAGAATATAAACAATTCCAAAATTCTTCAATACACAAAACTTTGACTTACCAAAAATTTTTTGCTTGGAACTGATGGCTTTCTATGCATGCAATAATGGTTTGCTGTCCATCTATTTTTTTACCATACACCTTTATTGGCAGAGAAAACAAAAACAAAAGTGAACTTTAGGGCCACAAAATACCAACTTTAAACATCTAAAAAGTACTGAAAATTTCACAGTATTTTGGCAGAAACACAAAGAATACATGTAGGTCCTTATTCCAATAGAGTAACTAAAAAACCAATTTCTCAAATGTGGATACTAAATCAAATTATTAATGGATCTCAAAAAACCTCACAGTAAATAAAGGAAAATTTACTCAATAAAACTATATGCTACAAAATATCCACAAGCACCGTAATTTCATGCTTTCATTCCAAACACAGCTATACATGGATAAATTATTTTAAACATATAGACACCAATCAAGCTGTTCTCATATCAATTAAAAACTGATCATTATTAGTGATTATTTTTGTTCACTTAATAATCTTAGGGGCTACCATTTCTCAAGTCATTTAAAAAAGATACTGAACTATGAGAAAGCTATTTTCCTTATAACTAAGAAAAGTCATTAAGAGAAATGTCTGTGTGATGTTATGATGATGTTATTTTACCTCTTTCTTCTGGTTTAAAAATAATGTATAAATTGTGCCTTTCAATTTCCTAAGAATAAATGAGGGCTCTCTAACTCAGTCACTCCTTTGCTCTTACTGAAACTTTCTCCCAAAATAATCTTAACTTATAATTGAAAGAATTTATAAGATTACTTTAGTTTATGTTGCTATATTTCTTAATTATTGAGAGTCAGACACTTAGCTGATCGTATGAAGTTTTTTCCTAATCAAGAAACTTTTGAGAAAGAAATGGGATGCTATTGATGCTAATAATTACAGTGGGGAAAAAAGGATAACATGTATGGTGAGCAGGGTCAGGACCACCAGGCTTTGTAAGCCTTGTTCAGATGCCCGGACATAGACTAGGTAAGTCTTTGAAGGATTTTAAGGGGGGGATTTTCATGATCTGTTTGCATTCTGAAAGATCACTATGGTCATGGTGAACTGAAACACAAATTCAGGTGTTAAAAAGTCTCTGTGGGTACAATCTTAGGAAAGTTCAAAAACAAAAAGCACTTCTACTTTCTACCATATTTCATTCTGAAAAAAAAATCAAGTGAACTTATGAAAGAGCCCCAGAAAAACCAAAAGAAATACGAATTTAAAACATCTGAGGATATGATTCAACTTCCAAATTATTTTGTCCTAAGATTTTCGTAACTTAATAAAAAGAAATTTGACTGAAATTTTACTGAGATGAGTCATGAACATGACATTAAAGACTCTCATCATATCCTCTAATTCAATGTATTAGAATTCCTATTTGGATTAATTCAAGGTGCAATTAGTTTTTCAGTTTTGGCTATAAATATTATGCATTTATTATTCTGATAAAAAATAACCATTCTTAGGAATATTTGCTTCAAGGAAAAAAGTGACAAGTTGTAAAATGTTAGTTTGGTACATTACTACAAATATCAAGAAATCATAAAACCTCTGTCCCATTTGCACAAGATACAGAAGAAAAAAGCTGACCACTGATGACTTACAGTGCAGACTCCATTTGGGTAATGTTCTTTTACATAAGCTCGCAGAGCAGTTTCTACTGAAGTTCTCCAGGATTCAATTGCATTTTCTGCTTCATAGGGTTTTGGATCAGTTGCTTCCTTTCTTAAGTGATCAAATTTGAAACAGATTCTGTTTTTTGGATCCAAAAACTTTCCATTTCCTAAGTCACCATGTTCTGTTATCAATACCTTGAATGATGGAATGAATTTAGCAAAAAAAGTATTTAAAACAACACTGAAGTATTGATACATATTAAGGTACATTCACTCATACTTTTTGCTTAAAACTACAGAACAATTTTACTCTAAGAAATTGGTTTTAATTATACTATACAACTACAATATTTCAAATGAGCAGACCACAAAGACAATGAGGCTTCTCAATCAGTATAGATTAGATTGTCTCCCAATATAACTTCTCAGAGAAAAGATGCATCCTCTATGACAGTGCTGGAGTCAGTTTTTATCTTTGAGAACTATGAACAGTTTACTGTTTCTTGTATCAGGCTCCAGTTCCTCAACACTAAGGTTATAAGAATGGTTTTAGTCCAGTGAGGAAGCTCTTCAGTGTGTCCTACCTTGCTTCAGGGTCCACAATTCCATCTGCTCATAAGCATCTGCTTTTGTTCTTATGAACTAATCATTCACAGTTATTAATTGACTTCCAAAAATTTTAAAACAATTTATTCATTTATGTACATTTAAATTATACATGCATAAATTTGGCATTTTGTGTTTTAAATTTTTTTCCCTTTTCTCCTTCCCTTGCCACTCTCACAATCTGACTCTACCTGCTTGAGCCACACCTGCAGCCTGCTCTAGTTACTTTGGAGATAGGGTCTCACGAACTATTTGCCTAGGCTGGCCTCAAACCACACAATCCTCCAGATTTCTGTCTCTCCAAGCTAGGATTACAGGCGTGAGCCACCAGTACCCGGCTAGTCTTGTTTTATGTATTTCATGAAGAGAACTACAATTTTCTTCATGAACCTATGCCTTTCTTGCTAAGCTTATTACTAAATTAATATGTAATTCTTACCAATATTTTTAATGGAATTTTCTGCCTCATTCTACCCATGATTTCTAATTTTAGGTACTTACTTGCTGTAATAGAGGACAGTTAATGAGTTTTACATACAGTACTTACCTTAAATTCAGCCATCTCATCAAAATCCTTTAAGTCTAGCAGCTTTTTTGGGTTGGGGGTTACTATTACTAGAGTCTGTTGGCATTGCTAAGTATATAAATCAGTTATCACCAAAGGGATTTCTCTTCTAAGCTTTGTAAGTTCTCATTCTCTTGTCTTATTTCCTACACATTCATTTATGATAACTACAAAGGAGGTGTGACAAACTTCTAATTTTAACTAAAATTGTTTTAGTGTTTATAGTTTATGGTATTTACTATTGATTTCTGCTAAACAATCATATTTATTAGGTTTTCTTCATGTCTAGTTTTATTTAGGGTTTTTGTTTTCAAAGAGAAATAGTCGCTTGGTTTTTCAAATTCCTTTTTCCTATTAATTGATACTATCTTCTTCTCTTTTTTGGTTAATACATAAAACCAGTAATACTTCTCTGCAATGGAACCATTCCTGTATTCCTGTAAAATTCTGCTTAGACTTTGTATATTATCCTTTTGATATATTTCTGGATCCTGTTTGCTAATACCTTATTAAAAGTTTTAAAATCGAAAATCACATATAAAATTAGTATGCAGTTCACTTTTTTGTCTTATCTGTTTAGGCTTAAGTATTAAAATTATACTAGGTTAGTAAAATGACTTTGTAAGCTATCCAACATTTTTAAAAGATGGATTCTCTTACCCAGCAAATTTTCATTAAGGATTAATCCCAAGAAAACAATATTCAGTGTTACCAGAGATACAAAGATATTCAATACAGCATTGTTTGTAACAGAAAAATACAAAAACCCAAAATCTCTAAAGAAATAAAATGAAAATTTAGGAGAGTAAAACAATGAAATACTATGTAATTTCATATGTGTGTACACACACATGCATATGTACATATGTTAGGTTTCCCTTAAAGTTATAAGTCATCTTCTAGTTTTACTTCTCCCCACTGTAACCACATGAATAAAACTAAATATAAGCTTTGATATAATTATCCACTAAGGACTCTCATGGTTTTTAGAACACTCTCTCTTATACTCTTCCTACAAGCTCTCTCCTCATATAGCTTCATATAAATTGCACTTCACATAAGCATGACTTGAATACAATCATCATTCATTTAGTAACTCTAAATAAAAAAAAAAAGAAAAAAAAGTACTAGTGACCTCATGTGGCCTTTCTTAGCTTAGCAATTCTAACTTGCATGTTGGGAAAAAAAAACTTAATAATTACTAAATGCTAAATTACTCACATGAAGAACTGTAGAATTCCAGAGCAACCAAATTATGATATAAATCTTACTAATATATATTCTAGATTTTGGATTAATATAGGATTGATATTTTTTCCTATAAAAAACAAGAAAGTAGATTTAAAGCAATTATTTTCCAAAATCTTAAATGAATTACATCTGAGTATTTCTAAAAGGGACTTTCTACTAATACTATTAGTCTCAACAAAAGAAATTAAAATTTAAATTACTTTGCCAGTGTCTATGATTAAAATAATGTTTTACCTTTATGCATTGCAATTCACAATTCTTGCAGGATATATTAATTGTTATAAATGAAACAAAGAGTAATCAGATTCTGTATTTCTATGAAACATACCTGATCTTCATAGCCTTCAATTTTTACTGGAGTAAACTGGTCCAAATTATACTGTGCAAATGCACTAAAAAAGAAAAAGGACAATTACATTAAATGCTTTTTTAAAAGGACAATTCACCTGCTAATGAAGGTCTCCTCCTACATTCTACATGGCAAGATTAATAAAAATATAACTCTTATAACTGAGCTTAGACTAACTATAATAGATGTGGCTTTTATTTTGGTAGTACTGGAGTTTACTGGTACACAGACGGTCTACTGCTTGAGCTACAACTCCAGGCCTAGATATGGCTATTTTTAAAATTAATAATATCCAGATCCCAATGTTTAGCAAAGTAAAATTAGGTCAGTAAATATAACTTGCCTTTATTCAAGGACTTGAAACTAAGTTAGCTATCTATAACATATACAACCAAATATTTGAGTACTATATATATTTAATAAACCTAAAAATAGATTAGATACTGTGATAGAAACAGATCCTATGATCAATGGGCTTACAATTAAAAAGAAAAGATAATGGAAAAATATAACCATATCACAAAGTAGAAAGTACCACTAAAAGAATCAATAATAATACACTCTAGAGAATATACAGTTTCTAAATATTATACTCTGCTAAGGCAAGAGTACAAAGAGAAGAGAATTGGGGCAACTTCATGATGGATGTGATACTGAAAGATGGGCTTGAAAAACTGGGTAGGCTCTTGTCTTAGAGAAATTGAAAATATGGGGAAGAAAAGAGTATTTCAAATGACATCAGGGTGGTATGAGTGTAGAGGAAGAGAGTGTAGTTCAATGAGAGAGACCAGCATGAGTAAGTCACATCGAAGACAAGTTAGGTCCAACGACATAGAAAGAATCAAGGCTCAATGTGTCTGGCACACAGCAGGTATTCAGTTATATTTACTGAATTGAACTAGAAGGCCTTGAAGACATTGTTACTTTATTTGGAAGGTAAAATTGAGTCACAGAAGTTCTTTTGATAAAGGAAAACACAGAAGTGCTTCTAAAGATTAGCTTGGCAGTAGTATATATATGATGAGTAGGACAGTGGAACAACTAGAGCCAGAAAAAGCAGTGAGGCTGTCTAAATCTCCCCATTACAATCAGAGGGACTGTGGTAGGAAATGGAGAGGAGATGAATTTAAGGATAAAGTCTTTCTCTATTCTCATATGAATAAAAGTAACATATTACCAGATAATTATTCAACCTATGTGACAGAAAAACTCTCATGGTATGGAAAATTATCTAAAAATGACATAAAGTTCACACACTATTAAATATAACCTAGGAAATCACCTCAGCTTAACAGCAAAGATAATGAATTTAGAAACTACCTCTAATCTTAATCTACTTGAAAGCTTTTCAGATTACTATGGATGGCCAAATATCCACTGAATCTTCAGGAAATAGTCTCTGAGTCTCCCCTAAAAAGGAATGCTTAGTTGAGCAAAGCATTATTGATGAGTTAACAGAAGACTAGTAAATGTAAAAATAGCAAAGTAGAATTAAATAACCGCCTGTCAAATTCCTGACACTGCATGTTCAAAAAAGGGGGAGGAGGGAGTAATTACTCACTTCTGATTTTCTTAATTCATTAAAATAATAATTTTCCTAACAACCTCCTCAAAGTAGCCAAGCAGTTACTAATCCTTAAATGATTTACCTCAAAGGTAAGACTGTAAAATACATGACTTAGAATTGAGCATTCATTTTTCTAGTAAAAGCCCTATTTAAATAGTGAATTTAAATATTTAGACAGTCATTTGGTCCCAAGCTAGATGAAAAGCCTTTTACTATCTACCAAACTCCATCTACTTCTAACCTGGGGAAAAGGGTAGAGGAAGAACAGAAAACTTGTAAAGGAAACAACAAATGTAAATAGGCAAAATTTTGTTTTAAATGTTTAAAGCAAGTTAATGATGACAACTATATATTATAGTGCAAAAGGTACTCACTAACCTAGGAGTCAAAATATTGGGGTTTTGTTCCAAAACTATCATTAGCTAGTATGAACCCACTTATCTCAGCTGTTAAAAAAAAAAGAAGAAAAAAAAACCAGTATGAACTATATGACTTCCAAAGTCCCTTCCATTTAGAAAACTCAGTCCGTCACCACTCCCTCCAGGCAAATATTTATCCAGGTCTTAGTGCATGCAAATCACTCTACTAGACACAGTGAAAATGGCCTCTCTGCCCTTGTAGAGTTCCGTGGCCCAATGATACATTTCTTTTTTAAAAAACAAAAACAAAAAATAACTTTTATTTTTTATTTGGTTTCTTGAGACAGGGACTCACTGTGTAATCCAGGTTAGCCTGGAACTTGTGATCTTCCTGTTTGAGACTCCCAAGGACTAGAATTACATGTGTGCACCACCACCCCCAGTTACCCAATCATCTATTTCTAAGTCACCTGCTCCGGTAGATTTTTAACTCTTTACTGTTAGTACCTCATCACATCACATCTGACTCTTTTCCCCATACATTCTTTTCCTTAGTTTACCCACATACTTTCTCTTATTCAATATTAAAACCCCACTCATCATTCAAGAATTGGCTCAAAATCACTTTAAAATAGAAATTAAATTTTTTTCCTTTGGCCTCTATCATATTTTATTTTATGTGGCCTGATATTGAACATATCTGACTCTTTTGTCTGCTGAATAAATGGGTATTTTGGGGTATTTAAAACTATCTGGCAGTACCAATTCTTCAGTAAGTGTAATTTTACTTTGAAACATACTTGGTTTGTGTCTTTTAGTAAAGATGTCTTATTAGAACCCTCTAAAGAATGATAGCCCTGCTTTTCCCCCTTAGAAAAAGATAAAAAGAAGGAAAAGGAAAAAAGATTAAAAGTGACAAAGCAACAGGGTAAAGGGGGAAGGAGGAAGACATGATATATGGAAAGAGATGTGTTCTTGCATAAAAGAAGTATGAAAACAACACAAAAAAATAATTGAAGAAGAAAAGTCTGGCTACACACTTACTCCAGAGAAATTGCACCAGGACACATTCTGAATGTTCTGTGATACTTTCTTAAGCTCCTGTTATGCAGTTTTGAACAGCCTTGATGGTAGGTGACAAATTATCTTCTTTTGAGAGCAAATTCAAGTTGGGATATTTAAAAATACTAAAATCTAAATGGGGGGGGCCACACTATTTTTGCTCAGAAATATTTCACAGAGGATGCTATGAGCTAGAGTAAAATCATCCTAAAGTCATTCATTTAAAATATAGCTCTGCACTTCAGATACTTTCAGATGTCAACAAAATGACCTTGAATGAACAGTTTTGAGAAACTATATACAAAGAATATGACTGAAGTCAGCAAAACTGTCACTATTTCCTCTGTAAGTTCATCTAGTCAGCAAACATTTCCTAAGATATAACTACATACAAGAAAATCTGAAGTCTGAAGTGTATAATATAGGTTTTGATGAGCACCCTTAGTCACAATCATACTAATAAACACCACCTTACTCTACTTTTTTATGATTTCTTCAAGTGCTTATTTCCATAATTGTGTATTTCCTACCTCCTTGATGTGCCTACCTCCTTTTATTTTTTTTGGTGTTTGGGACTGAAGCCAGGGCCTCACATGTCAGGCAAGTGCTTTGCCACAAAGCTACATTGCCAGGCTTTTTTTTTTTTTTTTTTTCATTTGAGACAGGGTCTTGCTAGGTTGCTCAGACTGGTCTCAAAATTATAATTCTCCTAGTATCTAGGATTATAGTGTGCACCATCACACCCAAGCTTATGCCTACCTTTTGAAGTAGGTATCTAACAAATTTGGTTATAAGGGTTTTTAAAAGAGAAATGTAGTGCACAAATTTCATTTAGAACAAATCTAATTTATTTAAATTAAAAATAACAGTTGCTATCAGGACAAATTTTTTTTTGGACAAACTAATTCCAATACACTCATCTGTCTTGAGTCAAATGTAGGACTACTTTATAACACTTATAGAACTATGGGCATTTCTCTGACTTTCCCTAAACTTTATCTGAAAAACTCAAGTCTAATTTCTCATTTTCTTACCTGAAAAAAAAATCTACTAATTTTTTTCATCTATATGGAACAATCCACTCCCTATTTACCACAGGACTCAGAGGGTAAGTCTACTTTGAAAGTATTGCCATTAACAAGCTGATACTGCATGGCTGCAAGCTATCTGAATCCACACAGACTTTTGTCAGTATGCTAAATGCTGTCATAGAGAAAAACAATCTTACTATGCACAACAGAATATTATCCAGTCTTGAAAAGGAAATTCTTGCTGGGCATGATGGTACATGCCTACAATCCTAGCTACTTGAGAGGTGGAGGCAGGCAGATCACAGTTTGAGGACAGACTTAGCAAAATTAGGGACACCCTATCTCAAAAAAAAAAGAGAAAGAAAAGAAAAGAAAAAACTACAAACAAAAGAACTGGAGGTATGGCTCAATTAACAGAGTGCTTACTTCTGGGTTCAATCCCCAGTACTGGAGTGGGGATGGGGGAGGGAAGGAAATTTCAACACATGCTGTAATACTGTATGACTGATGAACTTTGAAAATATTACACTAAATTAAATAAACCAGTTACAGTTGGCAAAATGGCTCACATCTGTAATCCCAGCTACCTGGGAGGCAGAGATCAGGAGGATGTGGTTTGAGACCAACCTGGGCAAAAAGTGAGACCTCTTTGCCAAAAGGAAGATGGATGTGGTGGTGCTCTCCTGTCATCCCATCTACATGAGAGGTAGCAAGAAATTGTGAGAAGCCACGGCTTTTTCCAAAGGTAATATATTAGGATTAGAAATGCCAGGTTCATGATTCATTTAAAAATTCAATGAACACTATGTATTAGGTACAATGTCAGGTAATTATGGGTAGATAAAATAAACTTCAAAACCTCAAAGATCTCAAAACTACTAGAGTCAAACACAAAATAACAAGTAAAATTACTCAAAAATTAAAGCAGTTGCCATCTGGGAAATTTTACCTAGTTTTACAAATGTCAGGGTATATTAAGACACTGCCAAATAACCAAACAATACATAATTCCCTGTTAGAGTTGTGACTCTTAAGTCCCTCTGTGATCACAAAGTATTTGAGTCTAGTATACACACACATATGTATATAAATGCATATAACTGAAGTTGATGTGGAAATACTGATGTTAGGGATTAGTGCTTAAATACCACTTTAAAACCATCTCCTCTCTTTCTCCAAGTAATTTTAGTTATGTTACTGTGATATACAATACTTACTGAGCTGCTCCTTCCCTGAGAAGATTATCATTATTAAGCAGTAACCGAACATCTGTAAAACAAGTATGTTTTCTATATTATTATTTTTCTATGTTTGAAGAATGTAAGGAATGCTAATTGTTTTAGTTAATACCCCCAGCCCAAATGCAAGCAGTAACAAAGTATCATTATAATGATCAAATAACCACAAATATATACCATGGTGTTTTTAAAAATAAAAGATTTTGGTTAGGGAATAGCAGAGGGAATGAAATAGAAACACATGCCATCTTGTATACTAAGAGTTGATGCAGGCATACCATACTATAGCCCCAAAGAACTAAAGTGGAGATACCAGAAAGATGGTGTGATAAGATCTGCAGGAAAGACAGGACTATGCCTCTTAGCTTGAAAACATAATCATTAGTTTCAAATAAATTTGCTCTATAGAAAAAGCAGTTAAATAAGTAGTAATTTGTGACCAAAAACCAGATACAGGCATTTCTGTCCTTCCATAGGTCTTGTTCAAGAAGGAACAGATGAGTAACTTCACTATATTTGACTTTTTTTTTTTTCCTGCCTTTGGTTGATTCTGAATTGTTCTGATTTTAAACTCAATTCTTATATAGACATTTGGCTATTACTCATGTAAAACATGAACTCGAAAAAAATTTTTTATTGGAGAACCTAAGTAATTTGCAAAGCAAAACAAAAAAATTACACAGTTTCACCAACAAACAAAACTCTATTCTAGTCTTTGTGTATTTTCTTTCATTTGTTTTTCTTAAGCACTTGGCTATTTTTACATAATTCCTATTATTATAAAGTACATGAAACAATATACCTTTAATTTTTTCATTAGATGAAAACACAAATAACCAATATAATTCCCATTAAGAAAGTGATAAAACATAATGTAAACAGACTACATTTCTTATATACAGTGTAAAATTAAGCAGTCATTAAAACTAATGCAGATATATATTTATTGATATGAAAATACATTTATAACATAACAAACAGGAAGAGAGGCACAGTATCAGCCTATTCATGTATTATCATATGTGTTCATTGAGAAATATTGGAAGTAAGTACTTCATTCAAATAGCAGGGAGCTAAAAGGTAGACTTCTGTATGATTAAGTTCTTTTTTATATTTCAGAAATTTTAAAATGAGTACAAATCATTTTTACAACAATGCCCCTTCAAAAGAAAAAAATGTTGCCTATTCACATATTTCTTCAGCAACAGGCCTTGATGTAAAAAACAATTTCTTTTGCTAACCACTAACACAGTACTAATTTAATTTCTAAATTAACTGACTTTAAAATAGAGAAGCTTCTATCTAAACATTTATTTAAAAAATATATACATTTACAATTACAGTTATTCCTATCCCCCAAAGAAACTGAGAATTTCTATTTGATAAATGATTCTTTTATCTTCAATATTACAAAAATACAATAATCAACAGTGGTCCTGCATGGTAATACGTCTTTTCAGTTCCACATGGGATAAAAATTTAAAAGTAAAATCTATTTGATCTAGTTACCACTACTCTGAAATATCATGCTTTTATTATTAAGAGAGTAGAAGAAATAGAAAATGGAGAAAAATTTGAATGAATTAGAATAAAATATTAATCTCAAAGAAAGAATTAGAATGGTTCCAAGGAAATTTACATATACATCACAACTTGAGTCATAAAAGGGAAGCTTAAAGAAAAAAAAAAAGAATACCAGTATAGACTTAGTTGTGGGTTTTTTTTTTTGTGGCAATACTGGGGTTTGAATTCAGGGCCTTGTGTTTGCTAAGCAGGCACCCTGCCATTTGAACCATGCCTCCAGCCCTTTCTGCTTTGGTTATTTTTGAGATAAGGTCTTACATTTATGCCTGAGCCAGCCTGGACTGTGACTCTATTTACAATTCCAACCTAGCTGGATGACAGGCTTAGCAGGGCGCACACCACTACACACAGCTTTTTAGGGGTCTTGCTAACATTTTGCCCAGACTGGCCTCCAACCACAGTCTTCCAGATCTCTTCTCCTGAGTAGTTAGGATTACAGGTGTGAGTCACTGTGAGCTATCAATTAGTTCTTGAAACTGATGAACAGAAAGCCATGTTTTAATGATTCTAACTTAGTTTTATCTTGGAAACAGCATTTCGGAACGGCTTAACTAGTAAGATTTTATGACTTGTATAATTCTAATATTTTTTCAAACACCAAAGTTTTTAACAAAAATAGTCATAAAAATAAGAAATTTCCCCTTCAAATATTTAGTTCCCTTTAACTCGAAAATACCCTCTGTTAAAATTTATTAAATTCTACAGCCCACTTCTCCACTCTTCACTGAAGACCTAGTTAATGGCTCACCATAAATACCTAAATTTAGTCTAACTCAACAGAAAATATGAATTCCATTTCAATTTCAAGTGAGACTTATGAAATCAATTTTCAAGACTCATGTTCTTTTAGGATCTTCCTGATTAAAATGTACGCAGGGCATTTAATTCAGGGTAAGAACGATAAATGGCCAACTTTTCTTATAATTATTATTTATTCCTGGTTGTATGAACTGTACAGAGTTTCAGGGAAACTGACCGATGGGTGCAGTTTCACCACTATCAATTTAAGTTGCATGTCAAATTTGAACCTAAGGAGAAGAGACTATTTTCTTTTGAATTTTCTCTACTTCTCCAGTTCACTACTTTAGATTTTATATTTTATAGTCACCTTAAATAGAACTATTTTAATTTTTAGACTTTTTTACAGAGTAGATTTTCCATTTTTCCTCTAAGTGCAGCCCCGTAGTTAAAATTTAAAATGCATATAACAAGAATTAACATATGCAACTGTATTTGCACCAAATCATATTATTATATTGTGGATGACAAGAGATTTTCAAGACTAATTACCTTTATACAAATTTTGCCTCAGTTTTTAAACTTTTAAGCTAACTCTCTTCTGAGGTGAGATTCCATTATATCTTATACTATGAATGAAAATAGGTGATTTAATTTCTTAAAAAATATATTTAAATAGTATATGCACATTAAAAAAAAAACCTAAATAGCTGTGCGTAAATGCACCTCCGACATAAGACATGGCGAAGGTCAATCAGACAAAACACAACAGTAACTCATCAGTTACACTTGTATAGCTGGGGAGGAAAGAGTCTGTGAAGAGATCGCTACATGCTGCTTTCCTGGTGAGTCTCTCAATCTTGTCACCTCACTGCTGAAAAACAGCTTTACAGCAGGAGACTGCACAGCAGTTTAGATTTCAGGTCTTTGAATGAATAGTTGTAAAAATGTTTGCCAATGAGGTCTAAAGAAAGGCATACTGTGAAACAATTTACAAGGTATAATTTAATAGCAATGGTGTTCTATGAGTGCTGTCATCTAGGCACAATGAAAATGTTTTTCTCCTATTTCATTGGCTGTTCATATTGCTCTAGTAGGGTTTTCTTTTAAATAAATTTTAAATTTACTTCACAATTCCAAAAAAGTAGTTAAAATGAAAAATTATTTTTAAACTATTTAAATGTTCTATCAAAGAAATATCTTACTATATGTGCTTATAGTTTTACTTAAACAATTTGTACCAAAATAGAAGCTGCTTTCCCAGATAAGGTTACACTTGTTCTTAGTAACTAGAGTAAAACTTATTTTATTCTTTTAAAAGGGTTAAGTAATTAAAACAAAATTATCACACACATCATAAATTGTATCTAGTCATTATGAAATCCAGATTGATAAAAATTTTCATTGTAATTCAGAAACTGCATATTTGATATCTTGTTTTATAAATTATCAAGCGTTATAAACACTCACCATTAAAAACTTCATTAAATTCTCCAGGAGGGGCGTGAATGATGAATTTTGCTGCTATACGTACCTGAAACAGAAATGAAGACATAAATATTCCATAGCATACACCTCTGCTAAAGAAACCAAAAGGTCATGCAAAATCATACTATTGTAAAGTTCTACTGAAAATGACTTGAGATTTTAAAGACAGTGGCACTTCTTCACTCAAATACCCTGAATTTCCTACTACTATTTTAAACATTTAATAGAATCATAACATACAGGCTGAATGCAGATAAAATACATAACTTAATGCAGTTAAGGATTCAAAGCTGTCTACAGATAAACACTTTCTTAATAATTTTATTTCTTTTAAGCCAAGATGAAAAAAAATCATGAAAAATTTTATGTGTGGACAAGTAAGATGCATTTAGGTATGCTGAAGAAAACTGCATATTGGAGGTCATCTGTATTTTAAATAAATCTAAAGACATTTAACAAAAAAAAAAAAAAAAGAAAACTGCATATTTATGTGTTAAAAAAAAAAACCCTCAGAAACCAGTGAAGAATATATAGAAGAGAAGAGGGAAAGAAGGGTCCAAGTTTAAACATGTTTAAACATGAGATCTAGCCAGGTCTTAAGACATTTCAATTCTAAGATAGGTGAGAGATGTTACAGGCTTATTTTAAGAAAATAAGAGCTATTTCGACATCAATGTAAATGTATCTGAGAGGTTAAACGACATCCCCAACACTACAGTTTAATAAAGAAACCTTCAATAAAGCACTGTAAAGTGGTAACGGCAAAGGAACTAGAATTGCCAAATCTATTTTGAAAAAAGAAGAATGAAACTGAGAACCACACTACACAATTTCAGCACTTCATATAAAGTTACAGTCAGCAAGACACTATGGTTTAATGATGAGAGACAATGGAAGAGAACTGCCTGTCCAAAAATACACACTCGTATACATGGTCCGATGACTGTGACAAAAGTGCAAAGGTAAGTGATTAGAGAAAGGACATATTTTCAACAAAAAAAGAAATCCATAAAGGGGGAAAATAAACCTCACACTTCATAGAAAAACTTCTAACTCAAAATTGACCATATCACAAATGTAAAACATAGAACTTACTTAAATACATGCATACAGACATACATAAAAGGAAACAAGAAAATTGTAATGACCTAAGGTTAGGTTTAAAAAAAGCTTCACAACAAAACTGTGTTCCATTAAAAACATTTATAAGCTGGATTTCACCAATTAAAAAAACTTTTAATTAAAACTTTTGCTCTGTTAAAAGAATGAAAAAACAAGCTGCAAACTGGAAAAAAAATACAAGTACATCGTCTCTAATTTGAAAAATCTAAATGCTCCAAAATCTGAAACTTTTTTGAAGGCTGACATGATGTTCAAAATGTTTTAGATTTGACATTTCAGATTAGGGATGCTCAACTGCTAAAATTGATGCAAACTTTCCAGATCCAGAATACTATGAAATCTGAAACATATCTGGTCCTAAGCATTTTGGATAAAGGATACCCAACCTTTACAAAAAGGATACTCAACTTTCCCAGCAAATGTATCAAACAAGTGACTTGTATCCAAAATATATAAAGTACGTGTAAGACTTAACAGTAGGAAGAGTACGCAAAAGACTTGCACAGATACTTTACCAAAGAGAACAAGTGTAAGACAAGTAAGTGCACCAAAAACATGTACTTACTTGCACTTAATCGTCAGGTAAAGGAACAATGAAATCATGAAATACTACTACATAGTAACTGGAATAGCTAAAATAAAAAGGTTGATAACACATCAAATGCTGATGATATTCTCAAACTGCTGATAAGGATGCAAAACCACTTGGAACTCATGTATTTCTGTGGAAATGCAAAACTGTACAACCAGTACAGAACAATTTTGATTTGTTTTTTTAAAAATAAAGTTAGTACACACCATAAGACATACCAGTCTCAAATCTAATTATCTTTCTAGAGAAATACAAACCACACTCACACAAAATTGCCCAAAATTGGAAACAATTTATAACCCAAATATCCACAAACATGTGGACAAATACACTGTGCTACATCTTCACAACAGAATACTACTTAGCAATAAGAGGGAACTATTAATACATGCAACAACTTGAATTTGTCTCAAAAGCATTGTGCTGAATGAAAGAAACCAATCTCAAAAGGTTATCTAGTTAATTGCATACCTTGATTTGCAAAGGGGTTATGGCCACAATAAACCCATTTTTAGTTAAAAATATTGTAAGTCAAAATGAATTTAATATTCCCAACCTACCAAATCTCACAGTTTAGAAATACAGTACACCTATGTAGAATATCAGGTATTTAGCCCCATGATCCCATGGCTTACTGGGAGCTACAGCTCATAGCCACTACCCAGAATTACAAGAGTATCATACCACTTATTCCTAATCCAGGAAAAGACACAAACTTAAAACATGAAATAGTTTTACAGAATTTATATTGCTTTTGCACCATAATAAGTCAAGAAATTGTGAGCACAACAATCTCAAGCCTGGAAGTCTCTCTTGCAAAGAAGAACAGGTCAATGGATGTCAGGAGCTTAGGGTATGGATGGGGAAAGGTGGGGCTACGTGGAAGAATTGAGGGGAAGGAAGAAAATGAGAGAGTTTTAGAAGAGGTGGTTACATTGATCTATACATGTGTTTAAAAAGTCATCAAAAATGGGAGGGGTACATTTTTTTTTTTTGGTAGCACTGGGGTTTGAACTCAGGGCTTCATGCCTGCTAGCAGATGCTCACTTGAGCCACTCTGCAAGCCCTGCTTTGTGAGGGTTTTTTTTTCCCAATACGGTCTCAAACTATTTTGCCCAGGCTGGCCTTGATCCTCCTGAGTAGGTAGGATTACAGGCCCGAGCCACTGGTGCGTGGCTGGGGTGGGAAGGGTACCTTTACTGCATGCCAATTTTAAAAATAATGTTTTGTGTGGATTCAAAATTATTTTTCTTCCAAAATGTTTAGGAGAATTATTAAAATTAAAAGGTAAATTGCAAATAGTAATTTTTAAAAGGCGAGGGTGGAATGGGGTATGGAAGACTGAGCCATGCCTGCTAAACCTATACTGGAGTCTATTATGCTTATATAAATGTCTTAATTGATCCCTCCTCAGGTAAGGAGTTGTTAGGAAGCATTAAAACCAAAGTCACAGTCAACAAATAAAAACTGTGATACATATTAACAAGCATAATCAAATACTTCTTTTGTAAACTTTTAGAATTTTGAGGTAATTTTTTAAACCATTTTAATAACTTATATGCTAGTTATAAGACTGATAAAATTAAAATACCAATAATAAGTAGTATACATTTGTATTTTGTGACTAAATTAACTAGCTGTTGAGCTTTGGATTTTTTAAGTTGTTTCCAAAACAGGCATATGCCATTTAGAATCTGTCAGTTCTATTTTAGGATTCCACCACAAAAGCAAAAATGATCTGTATTTTTATCCTACGCACTTGTTTTTGCTATTGAACTAAATGTAACCAAATGTACAGACTCACACAATATCCTAACTGAATAGTGAGTCAAAAACAGTACCACTAAGGACTGGGAGTTCAAGACTGGTTAAGAACCCAGAACACGACCTCATGATATCAGCTATATCTGAAATATTTTAATCTGCTCTTCTGAATTTCATGGAATAAAAAGAACCTGACTTGGACTTCTCAGGTGCAAGAGAAAGAAAAGTGTGTGTGTCTGTCACAGTAAAGTGACTGCCTTCCTAAGACAGTGTTCAATCCTCTGAGTATTTTCAACGCACTGCTGTAGACTTAAAAGTTCCTCCTAGGTGACTTTAATTTTTAAAATTATTTATTCTAGCTACCTCTTAAATCCATGAAAGAAAAGGTGCCATACAAGTTAACAGGAATAGGTCCCAGGAGTAGAAAACATTTCTGAAAATACATTTCCTTAAGGTTTCTCTAACACACATGGAACTATACTCCTTGGGAATTACAGCATTTTTGAAAAACCCAGTGAATTAGGTACATTCCTGCTAAATCTCTTTCATTAACCACCATATACCTCCACATGACATTTTTCAAAGTTATTCCCTATAAAATTGGAGTAAAAAGAGTTACTGCTTTTTATAATATTTCTAATTCTGGATGAGAGGGCTTGTTTCTGTTGATGAGGGGTAGCTATGGGAAGATTTCTATCCTTCTATGCTACTACCACCACAGCTGATGGCACACCTCACAAGAATCACACCAAGAAGTAGGGAAAAGTTTAAAAAGCTAACCTATTACAGCTGTGAGTTTTAACCTGAGCTCGAAACTGGAAGACCTTTTTCTTTCTTTCTATTGGTTCCAAACACCATGTTGTGCAAAATATACACAAACAAATATAACATAAAAGACATGTTCCAGTCTGTTGCACTTCTTGTAGAAGAACATATACCACAAGTGATTATAAAGTTATTTATTCAGTAGATAAAAGTGTAATATCCAAAATATTAGTATACTACATGAGCTCTGAGAAAAAAATTCTGCCCATTAACTGAGATTTAAAAAATAGTATTACAAAAACATTACTCAAACTCTATTTTTTGTACTTTGTCTTTCTTATGGGCTTTAAAAATAACAAAAAATAGTATTAAACAATTCAAGCAATAAACTAAGCCATGACAGTAACATGATAACCCATGAAGTAAGACTTTACGAGTCCCTATCAACATAAATGAACAAATGGAAAGCTCCTCATAATAGAAAGCCAACTAACAATGTAGGAGCAATGACTGAATTAGAAGTTTTTGTAGAAAAAAATCATCTGTGGTGTCAAAATTAGTACATAAAAGTATAAAACAACAGGCAACTGACATCGTTAAGTATCTCTCTATGTGACCCTGAACTACAAATATATAAATAGCAATTATATGTTAAGGAAATCTGCCACATAGCACACCTTTACCAAAGGACCAAAGTTATAAACAGTAATAAGAAAAATTGACAACATGTGTCTCTTGAAAACACATCATCACTTTTGTGATAGTCCTGCCAAAAATTAATAGGCTGAATGTAATCAAGAGGGAGCATCAAACAACCAAAATTGAGGGACAGTATAGAAAATAACTAGCATGTATTACTCTTCAAGAAAGTTAAGGTCATGTAGGATAAGCAAGACTGAGAAACTGTCCAGATTAAAGACCAGAGACATCACAAAAAAATTCCGTGAGATTCTGTTTAGGATCCTGGACCAGAATTTAAAAAAAAAAAAAAAAAAGAACCCGGCACTGAGGGCCTATGCTACTTGGGAGGCAGAGATCAGGAGGACTGCAGTTCAAGACACCCTATCTCAAAAATACCTAAAACACACACACACACACACACACACACACACACACACACAAATAAGGGCTGGAGGAGTGACTCACTATCTGCCTCCCAAGAGCAAGGTCCTGAGTTCAAAACCCAGTACTGCCGAAAAAGAAAAAAAAATCCATTAGTGATTAGTGATAATTGGGAAAAAAATTGAATAGGGTACAGATTATAGCACTGTATGAATGCTTAAACTCTCAATTTTGATCATTGTACTGTAGTTACGTAAAAGAATGCCTTAAAAGGAAATAAAGCATTTAGAAATAGGGGAAAAAATTCTCCGCACTTTGGCTGTGGAGGTTTTCTCCTATAATTTCTCTAACTTTTTAAAGTTCTGTCTTTGCATGTAGGTCTTTAATCTGCCCACAACTGAGTTTTATGATGATTAGGGTGGGCATATAGCTCTTATTATATTGTCAAATGCATAAATAAATAAAACATTCTAGTACTATCTGTGAATGAACACTTCTCCACACTGAACTTTTAATGATTTTTTTTATTATTGTGCTGGGTGGAAGTATTACAAATACCATACTTGAATTCATACACCATTCCTGGAATAATTTCAACAGGTCTCATTTTTCCATATACCTATGTGTGTACACAACATTTTCACTATATTCAACCTCCTATACTCTTTCCCTACCCCACCCCCCCAGCAGGACCGTTCCACCCTCCTGTTCTCTGATTTTGTAAATGAAAACAAAATGACATTTTTTTAAACATGGTTACACAAGGTGTTTCCTTGTGACATTTCCATGTATATATATAATTTAATTTGAATTGGTTTATCTCCTCTATTTTTCTTCTTTCTACTTAGTCTCCTTTTTATGGTGGCTTCAACAGATTTAAAAATTCTGTATTCATTCTTGTACAGAGAGTATATCAACCATATTCATCTTCTTAACTTCTAAAGGATCTTATAATAAGCCCTACTTTTAAAATGTGAGTTACTTTTATTTCAGTCACGGATATGACAATTAGGTTAAACACCTTAATAAGTCCCCAAAATCCTCTGAAAGCATCTAAAGAACTTATATCATTCCAGTAGTAATTTCTAGAATGGGTCTTCTTCAAGTAAATTCTATTTTTAACAATATCAGCAGAAGAAATGCTATCACAGTCTTTAGTAGAGCCTTTGGTTAACACTAAGACAACACTGATGTTAAGTAATGTGAGAGAAAATTAATATTCTATTTCCCTTTTACCAACATCTTATTTTGATTAAAGATTTTCAGTGGTTATCTCTGTAAGTAATGAATAACTTACTTTTATACACAGAAATTCTATAGGCTGTTTCGCTATTGTTCAGCTCATAATGAGCCATTGTCTCCTTAATATCAAGCTAAAAAATTTTGGGTTAAAGGATTCGAATTACTTGGATTTTGGTTAATTAAAATATCATACCATGAACCTCTTTTATTTGTTTACAACTATTTCACTACTAACCCAAGATTTTGGAGACTCAAAAACCAATTATTCTTATTCAGACTTTATAATAATGAGATAAATGGGTGTTTTGACATTTCATCTAGAGTTAAACATATTTAACTTAACTGCCTTTAAAAAAAATTGGCTAATTTTCCAGCCCCTTTGCTCCCCAAATTCTCAAAGTCTAGGACTGATTTACTCTGGGAAGAGAAAGAAAATCAGGGAGGGAGACTGTCTATATACTCCCTTATCTGGATGTTTAGAATTGTGCCTAGAAAATAGCAGACTCTTAAATACCTGTTGAACAGGTCACGTTTGGGCCTCTGTTACCTCTACCCTATATTTGGCACTTAGTAGTTAATGACCATGTACTAAATAAATCTGTAAGCAATAAACTTCATTTACAAAGGTCAGGGAATGTAGTATTTCAATGAGATGAACATTCTAAGAGTTATCAATAAACAGTTCTGTATGCAGACTTCCAATTTTCAAATATTCCACATTCCAAACTGTAAAAATTTAATGCTAATATAAAGCAGCAGTATAGTGTAATGGTGGAGAATATGGTCTCTGGACCAGAGTTACCAGGATGGATTGTCACCTCTTTTACTCATTTAGCTATGTGACCTTGGATGAATAAATAATATTATTGGCAATAAAAGTGGTAAATAAGTATACTTGCATTAGTATAGTATCAGTATTATTAAAAAATAATTATAGAATACATTTCACATTTCATGTTAGTTCCTCTGTGCCCTGCAGTGTAACAGGGTGACTTATGCCTATGCATTTCTATGTATTTTGAAGTGCATTCATTTCCCATACCTCAGCACCCTCACCCATCCCCATGACCCTGGCTCACCTTAACCACCAGTGACAGGAACATGGCAGAAAAAGTTAAAACCCTTTGGCAGATGATAGCTATGGGCAATTAAGACCTAGGTTTTTATCTAAGTCAATGCAAATGATCTCTAGCCAAGTTTTTATTATTTTTTTAAATTTCATAAATCTAAATTTTATTTATTTATTTACCTGGTGCTGCAGATTAAATCCAGGGCCTCAGACATGCCAATCATGCACTTTGCCACTGAGCCTCCAACCCCTAAACCTCAATTTTTTAAGGTAAACTAAAGTAAATGGAATATATCATTTTTTCTTTTTAAAATCTGGCCCTATTAGACAAAATATTACCTGTGAGTATCTCCTGGCACAGCTATTATTATTATTAATTTATGAAAGAGAAAAGAGAGATTTAGAATTGGGATTTGGATGAAATATTCAGATGAAGTCCAAGGCTTTTTATGTAGCTGCCTCCTAAAATAGCATAATCTTTCTATGATGATTCAGGAGACAGGCTGGAAACACAAGAAATCACTGCGTAACCTCATTCACTTCCACTGATTCTACTATCACAAGATCCCAAATCTACATAATCTCCTATCACAACTTCTCAAGACCAAGATTAATTTTTAACTGTAACTTATCTTATGAGAAATCTTCATCAAAGTACCTCAAAGATATGTTCAATTCTTTCAGCCAAATCTACTCCTTTTTGTTATTGGCACCATCTAGAAATCTTGCACATTTTTCCCATTTCCCACAGTCACTCAATGAATGAATGTCT